GGGGCAGCAACCCAACAACAGGATGTCAGATTTGTCTGAAAATTTCAGGGCAGATAGATCTTGACCTGATAATCAGTTTTACCTGATGTCAGATTTACTCTAAATGCTTTGGTTTCAGAGATATAAGCCAAAATCTACATTTTACCCCTATGTTCTATTTTTAGCCATGGCAGCCATCTTGGTTGGTTGGCGGGGTCATCGGACACATGTTTTAAACTAGATACCCTAATGATGATTGTGGCCAAGTTTGGTTAAATTTGGCCCAGTGGTTTCAGAGGAGAAGATTTTTGTAAAAAGCTAACGACGACGGACGAGATGTGATGAGAAAAGCTCACTTGGCCCTTCGGTGCCAGTGAGCTAATAATAACAAGAGATAAATATTTTCAAATTCCACTTTTGGATATTAAAAATGAATTTGATTTGTTTTATTGTAACATACAAGAACATAGGTATATGGTTTCAGGGTGGGGATCTTGACCGCTTACAAGTTATCAAAAAGAAGGGGGTGGTAGTTACCCCAATGGACTTCCCCTATATTTCATTTTGCACCACTCTTCAACCCTGTATAAATCTTCTTGAACATCATCATGTATATTTTCTATGTTTTTCCCTGATTTATGAAGAGTGGTGTCATCAGCATATAGGTCTGTTTCACAATTTTCAATGCATAAGGGAAGGTCGTTTATAAATAGCACAAACAATAGAGGACCAAGTATAGAACCTTGGGGGACACCAAATTTTACATGTTGTTGTTCAGAATAAACATTACAAATGAAGGACAAACAGACAGAAAGACAGACAGACAGACACACAGCCTACCAAAAAAATTTCAAACAATTTACCAATGATATTTCGCCAATAACTCAAATTTATTTCCATGAACCAGTAACAAAACACCAAAACAATTCTCTAAAATTAGATATGACTTAACCACTCATGAATCTCTAAAATTAGATATGATTTTATATCTATCAATTAAACACATCACTTTTCAAAACAAATGACTCAAACTTATTTCCATAAACCAGTAAAAAACCAGCAAAATACTTCTCTAAAATCAGATATGATGTTATATCTATTTCCATATTATAATCAAATTTAATTAATAGTTGCTAATATTGTTTCTTTCATGTGTCAAAAAATAATACAGATCTGCAACTTATCTATCAATGTTAAAAACTTTATCTCATAATAAAAATACATTATTATCTAATTAAAAACAAGTTCAGATTCAGCACTTGAAAGAACCCTATATATATTTAATATATGTTCAAATATAACACACACAAACTGATTAATTTTCCCAGGTGACCTGCCCTTTATTTCATATGATTTGTTTTTTTTTGTCCTATACAAGGATATATATGGTTTAGGAGCGGGGATCTCGACCATTTACAAGTTCTTAAACAGGAAGAAGGTGGGAATGACCCCAAGGAACTCACCTTTTATTTCATTTCATTTGCTTTATTGTAACATACAAGAATATATATTGTTTCGCGGTGGGGATCTCAACCGTGTACAAGTTTTCAAAAGAAGGGGGTAGTGTTTACCCCCGTGGACTTCCCCTATATTTCATTTGATTTGATATATTGTTCCATACAAGAATATATATGGTTTCTGGGTGGGAATCTTGACCGTTTACAAGTTATCAAAAAAAAGGGGGTAAGGGTAACCGCAATGGACTTCCCCTATATTTCATTTGATTAGTTTTATTGTCCAATACAAGAATATATATGGTTTAGGGGTGGGGATCTCGACCGTTTACAAGTTTTTAAACAGAAAGAAGGTGGGGATGACCCCAGGGGACTTGACTTTTATTTCATTTGATTTGTTTTATTGTAACATACAAGCAGATATATGGTTTAGGGGTGGGGATCTCAACCGTTTACAAGTTTTCAAAAAGAAGGGGGTGGGGTTTACCACCGTGGACTTTCGTTAAATTTCATTTGATTTGTTTTATTGTCCAATACAAGAGTATATATGGTTTAGGGGTGGGATCTCAACCGTTTACAAGTTTTCAAAAAGAAGGGGTTGGGATTTACCTCCGTGGACTTCATCTATATTTCATTTGATTTGATATATTGTCCCATACAAGAATATATATGGTGTCTGGGTGGGAATCTTGACCGTTTACAAGCTATCAAAAAGAAGGGGGTGGGGATTACCCCAATGGACTTCCCCTATATTACATTTGATTTGTTTTATTGTCCCATACAAGAATATATATGGTTTAGGGGTGAGGGATCTTAACTGTTTACAAGTTCTTAAACAGGAAAAGGGTGGGGGTGACCCCAGGGGACTCGACTTTTATTTCATTTGATTTGCTTTATTGTAATATACAAGAAGAAAAATGGTTTCAGGTTGGGGATCTTGACTGTTTACAAATTTTCAAAAAAAAAAGGGGGGGGGGGTGGGGGTTACCCCAGGGGACATCCCCTAAATTTCATTTTATTTGTTTTATTGTCCCAAAAAAGATTATATATGGTTTAGGGGTGGGGATCTCAACCGTTTACAAGTTTTCAAAAAGAAGGGGGTGGGGTTTACCCTCGTGGACTTCCCCTAAATTTTAATTGATTTGTTTTATTGTCAAATACAAGAATAAATATGGTTTAGGGGTGGGGATCTCAACCGTTTACAATTTCTCAAACAGAAGGGGTTGGGGGGTTACCACAATGGACTTCCCCTATATTTCATTTGATTTCTTTTATTGTCCCATACAAAAATATATATGGTTTAGGGGTGGGGATCTCGACCGTTTACAAGTTCTCAAACAGACACGCTGGGGTGACCTCAGGGGACTCGACTTTGATTTCATTTGATTTGTAACATACAAGAATATACATGGTTTCAGGGTGGGGAGCTTGCACATTTACAAGTTTTCAAAAAAAAGGAGGGTAGCTGTGAACCCGAGGACTATCCCAATATTTCATTTGATTTGTTTTATTGTCCCATACAAGAATATATATGGTTTAGGAGTAGGGATCTCAACCGTTTACAAGATAAAAGCACATTATCAAATTGCAGGGGGGTAGGGGTAAGAATATATATGATTAACGGACACTTAATTATCTACAAAATGTCTAATAATGAACAGTAAATTCTAAACTTCATTTATACAGTAATACTAGTAAGTTTCAAACTGTATATATACAGTCCTACAGATCTTATCAGAAAACAGAAAATTTTCAAATAAATCTGTCACTCCAATGATTATCATATGCTAAAATATTTCCAAGATCTAATTAATAATGAAAATAAATCATTATCATATGCTGAAATATTTATAATATCTAATTGAACAGAACTATGGTTGTTTCACATAGTACTCTAACATAATTAATAATGTAATAATCTTCAAAATGTCTAATGATATAGCTTATAATCATCACCACTTAGGAAATAGATAATTTTCAAATAAATCTGTCACTCCAATTTTTATTCTGAGATAAGACAAATCATAACATGATAACAACGTTCACAGTAAAATATTTAAAAATTCTACTGTTGGATATAAAAAATGGCGATAACTCACAAAGGAGATATACTAAAATCTTGAAAATTAATAGAGACCTTCATTAAGTCCCAGGAAACAACATATTTAAATTAAAAAAAAATTGTTAAAGCGTTTTCATGTTATTGTGCTGACACTGTTTGGCAGCCGCCCGAACCGCCCAGCCGCCCGCCGTATATCACCATTTTAATAACCGATATTTCCTTCGAAAATCCGGTTAAAAATGAAAAATTGACTACATTAATATAGTATTACATGATTTCTTTATTAGTTGTTATTGGCTTTGAACTAGCTTTCAGTAACTGCGAGTACTCTCAGGTGTGTACTTTGTGTCTTTTTTGTTGTGAATGATGCATAAAGTCCCTACCACGTCCGGTCTGTGTTTTTTTTGTTAGGTTTTTTTTTTGTCTATCTGATGAGTTAAGCCGTTTTTAACTGATTTTTATAGTTTGTTCTTATGTTGGTTTCAAGCTGTTACACCACTTTCCCAGGTTAGGAGCCTGTAGTTCACTGGCAGTTATTGGTTCATGCCTGTTATATTTGTTTTTCGTAAATTGTTTTGTTATAAATTAGGCCGTTAGTTTTCTCTATTGAATTGTTTCATATTTTTGACGTCGGGACCTTTATAGCCGACTATACGGTATTAGTTTTTTTCTCATTGTTGAAGGCCGGACGGTTGCCTTTAATTGCTTACATCCACTTCATTTGATCTTTGGTGGATAGTTGTCACAATGGCAATCATACCACATCTCCTTATTTCATTATTCCTCATTCAATCTCTCAATATGAATAATACTATTTGAATAAACTGTTCTTCATTCATTATGTAAACTAGAAATATAATGGTTGATGAATAATTGTTTTTGGTTTTATATTATGCTATACTTTATGAAGTCAACAATTTACATTATTGTTTTTCGTAAAATTAAGGGACCATTTATTCTGGGGTATGGTGGCAGAAGGATGTTTTTCTGACGGTATTTTCATTTTCACCTTTTGTGAATTTTTTTTGATCGGGGAATCTTGTTTTCATTTGTTTACACAACTATATTCTACATTATGATGGGTAAAATATTCATTTTCATTTTGTTTTGGGCAAGCTTATTCATTTTTACCTGGCATTGCAATTATGACGATTTCAAATCCTACTGTCACCCCCACCGCCAGCGAATATCAAATTGTTGTGCCCTTATCATACTTCGATTTTTCGTCTATTGTACTATCTCAGATTTTCACTTGTTTGTTAATAATTCCAATGGAATATATTTCAAGTCCATTTTTCAATTTGTGAATATGATATTTTGTCCAATTTTGAGGGAATAAGAGCGAGTAGCGCAGCTAGCAAAAATAGAATCGTAGGTAGCTTGTTTGGTCTCTGTAATTATCGGTCGTAGTTGCCCTTTAACTAAGCATAATTATATGGTTTTTTAGTATAATTAATTTAACAGATTGCACATATACATGTATACAATATACAATGGGGACTTACTGTGCACCACTTATTGCGGACCTGTTTCTGTATTGTTATGAGTTACAATAAGCAAAGATCCATCGAAACAACATCTGATACAAAAAATTAATAACACTTTTAGATATTTGGATGATATATTGGCTCTCAATAATGACACTAAAGATTCTATCCTGCTGAACTGACTTTAAATAAAGCTAATACTAGTACTAACAATGAACACTGCGCTTTCCTGGATCTTGATATCTATATCTTTAACGGAAAGCTTAATACCAAAATTGACGATAAAAGAAATTATTTTTCAGTTCCTATTGTTAACTATCCATTTTCAGATGGTGAAGTTCCCTTGTCACCATCTTATGTTGTTTATATATCTCAACTTGTTCGATTCGCTCGTGTATGTAACAACATATTTGATTTTAACGGAAGAAATCTCTGTATTACTGAAAAATATTGCACCAGGGTTTTCGATATCACAAACTAGTCAAAACATTTACTAAATTCTATCATCGGTACAAGTAAATATAAATCAACATGCAGACATCTTATACGTTCAGGTATTTCACATCCAATCTTTTATATTATTTTATGATGGTATGATACTAAACCCCTAACGGGAGGGATTGTCCTTGATTTCCATATGAAGAAGACATAATCTTTCAATCAGTTTAATTGAGGTCTGGAGCTGGCATGTCAGTGACTGCTAGTAGTCCTTTGTTAATGTATGTATCATTGTCATTTTGCTTAGTTTTTTCTGTTACCTATTCTGACATCGGACTTGGACTTCTTTTAAACTGAGTTTTACTGTACGTATTGCTGTGTGTTTGTTTATTCTACATTGGGTAGAGGTATAGGGGAGGGTTGAAATCTCAAAAAACATGTTTAACCCCGCCGCAGGAGCCTCAGGCCTTTGTTAGTCTTGTGTGTGTGTTTTTTTTTTTAATTTCAGTTCATTCATATGTTTCGGAGTTTATTGTGACGTCCATTTTCACTGAACTAGTACACATTTTTGTTTAGGAGCCAGCTGAAGCCCGCCTCCGGGTGAGGGATTTTCTCGCTGTGTTGAAGACCCATTGGTAGCATTGTGCTGTTTTCTGCTCTTTGGTCGGGTTGTTGTCTCTTTGACACATTCCCCATTTCCATTCTTATTTCATTTTATTTTATACATACCTTCATATTATACTGGTATGAAATAAGAGTGACAATTTAATGCATGTCTGCAACGTACAGCTGGTAGACACATCTAACTATTGATTTCTCAAGTACTGTGCAAAATATGATTTGCATAATCCAATAGCTTCTGTTGACATAATTAGTCGTTAAAGATCACTGAAAAATGAGATATGTATAGGGGGGGGGGGGTATATTTTATAATTTCTAAACAACTAAATTACGTAGAAGTTTTATACGATTCCGTAATTTTGATTAGCTGAGGCATTCCAGAAGTTAACCGTTTTAATAATTTCTGTATAAAATGAAACATTTAAGACTGCACGTAACAAAATAAACGAAAGCCTTGATTTCAATAGCAATTTCACGGTTGTAGCATAATAATGTAATTGTATAGGGTTGTAAAAACGATAAACGTGCGAATATTTTTATTATGAAGTGTGGAAGAGTCGGTCAACGTTTTTACGCCTCAATACAATGAAATGAGATAAGAGCATTTGCCATTGAAGGTATAAAATAGGGTGGTCTTGTAATCAATTCATTTCTACTTTCGCTTTCAGTTTTACAAATTCTTCCTTTTTTAATTTACCTTTAAATCAATCACAGAAAAGTCCTTCGTGTTATATATATTATATAACTTCGACGCAAACTGCATGTTTAGATGTGAACATGTTTCTTAGAGCCCTCAATGTAGAAAAGTATATATGCGTGCGTGTCCGAAAAAAAACATAATGGCCTCGAAGCTATTTGTTGTGAAATAGGTCCGTTATGTATATTAAATTTACATCATATTATGTCACTAAATGTAATTGGATAACTAGCCTTTATCATGTTTTATCCTTCAATAAGGTCAGGATTTATCCTATAGTTTCCATGTTGTTAACTATCATTTAAATCCACCCTAAAAATCATTGTACATTAGAAAACCCTTCAACCGAGCTAACGCCCTCGGAGGTATTATATCTCATACATATATGTGTACACACACTGCACCAGATTACCTAGTATGTTTTTTTTTTACATTTCTATTTCAAGCAAGTATAAAAATGTGTAACCCTTATCATGCTTACGTCGCAAAACTATTTAGATACTAAAATCTTACCTTATCAAGATATAAATAATACAATTGTACTGCCTGACTAAACCTGGGGCGTGTTTTTTTGTTCTTCGGTAGTGAGCCAGAAGAGGTCCATTTCTGTTTTTTTGAATAGGGAAGATCTTCTGGCTCTCTTCCATCTCTTCTTTTTTGATAGGTAGTTTAGACGGCAGAGGCACATAACAAACATGGCGTCGTTTAGTCTAAATGACATTAATAAATTTATGAATGCAGATATATTAGTATGTGAGCTGTGTTATAAACGTTTTTATGGTATGACAGTCTTAGTAGGACATCCGTGTAGGACGATAAGCTGGATAAATATAAGAACCGCACGGACAATAACAGTTAAGGGACGACTATTTGATATTCTAGGGAAGGGATTTTGATTGATTATTGTTTAACGCTACTTTCAACACTAAGTTGGGCTATTCCGTGGTGGTCAGTTTAAATTTATAGATCAAGGATGGGGAAGGGAAGAGGGCATTATTAACTTTTTTAATCTGTCGCTAATTATGCCTTTTTTTCAGCTCTTATCAGGCGACTATATTATATATGAAATCCTCCTGTCCCCCACCCCAATAAATGAATAAATATCAAATGGTTTTTCTTCTTATTTAACACAAGTTTAAATTGATTGATTGTTTGTTGCTAATTTTTAACGCCCAGTGACAAAAATGTCATGCATGTTCAGGACTCGATTCAGGAAAACACGAGTTTAAAATTCAGGTATATATGATATAAAAACGAAGAGATGTATGATTGCTAATGAGGCAACTATCCACCGGAGTTCAAATATGAAGTGGATGTAAGCAATTATACGCAACCGTAATTAAGGCCTTCAACAATGACAAAACCCGATACTGTATTAAAAGTCGTCAATAAAAGGCCCGACGTGAAAAGTGTAAGAAACAATTCAAACGAAAAAACTAACGGCCTAATTTTACATAACAAAATAATTTACAAAATATCAAAGTCGAGGCATGAACCAACGACAACCACTAGACTATAGGCTCCTGACTTGGGACAGGCACACAAAGAATATGGCAGGGTTGATATAAAAACGAAGATTGCCAATGAGACAACCCTCCACAAGAGACCAAATGACACAGCAATTAATAGCTATAGGTCACCGTACGGCCTTCAACAATAAGCAAAGCCCATACCGCAAAGTCGGCTATAAAAGGCCCCGAAATCACAAATGTAAAACAATTCAAACGAGAAAACTAACGGTCTAATTAATGTACAAAAAAATGAACGAAAAACAAGTATGTAACACAGCAACAAACGACAACCACTAAATTACAGGCTCCTGACTTGGGACAGGCACATACATACAGAATGTGGCGGGGTTAAACATGTTAGCGGGATCCGGCCCAACCCGCCCCCTAACCTGGGACAGTGGTGTAACAGTGCAAGAACATGTTTGTGAGCGCTTAATCCTTCCCGAAGCTGGGACAGTGGTGTAACAGTACAATATAAGAACAACCTGCACAAATCAATTGCAATTAGATTAACTCAAAAGATCGGTACGAGACACACAAAAAAAAGTTACATTAAGAAAATAGACACAAAGCACCGAAATAAGAGTATGCAATTACTGGAAGTTTGTTCAAAGCTAATAACAACTAGTACTAAAATAAATCTTGTTCTCCCAGACTGAAGTATCAATCAGTACACAACCAACGGATTCATTAAAAAAAAAAAGAAAAAAAAACTGTCTGAGAAATGTCTGGTATACATTGTATACTTGCATATTGATACATATACAAGGAAAATTTTTGAAAAGTGGTGGTCCGAAGGTTTTGACCATCGAAATTTTGCAATAGAAATAATAGTTAGGACCAGAAGATTTTCTTCAAGGACCACCAGAGAATAATGATTTTGAGAACTTTCCGATATCTTTGCTTTATACAAAAATAATCTAGTTTGGTTACTTTAAAAAAAAAATGGATAGACAAGATGTTTATGATCATATTCGAGACAAACATTGACGAATTTTGTGCAGTTTAAGATTATTCTTAAAAATCAAATAGTGGGGGTTTAAGCCAGATTTGTCTAGCTAAATTGATTTAGAGGAAAGAACAAAGAAAAATGTCACGAACAGAACACACTTGCAGTCATGTCTACCGGACGTATCTTAACTTTCTATAAAATCATCGGAAACTTCATTTATGTCATCCAACATAACAAAAATCTGCTATATTCGACGGCAAATTGAATTTTTGTTTTACTGATCTTCCGTAGAATATCTCCAGAAGAGGTCCAGATTCATTTTTTTGGACTCTTCACCAGAAGACATTCTGGAGATGTGCAGAAGAGACCAATAAAACACGCCCCTGGTGGTATGTTTACCTGTGTGTCAAATAACTGAGGCTCTAAAGGTGGTTTTTCCCGTGACAGTGAAAGAACATTTTAAAAAGATTTACAACATCTGTTTTTTTCTTTCGTTATCTATTTGATTATGGTATGACATAATTGAATGCATTGTATTGTCTCAATCTGTGTCAATTTTTATTTCTACTGCAATGTATGTCTTATCAAATGTTAACAAACAGACGCATTTTGGTTGAATTTGAAACGTGAAATACAAGAGAAATGCGGGTACTTAAACTATATACATGTACTTAGACATGGTATAATTAGAAAATAACACACTTAATATTTGATAAAAATAGAACCATGTTAACATGATAGGGTCAAGTGCAGATACAAGTATTTAAATTTTCGGAAAATCATTTTAAAGTATCGAAGCGAAAATAAGAAGGTGTAACTTTGTCGGTAATTGATCGTGGTTAAAAATTGTTCCAGAGGAAAAAATACCTCATATCATTAAAAAGACGGCGGGGGCCGGTGGCTGGAGGATTTTTAAGATTAGAATCCTTGTCTGGTAGGAGATAAAATAAATAGTTTGCCCGAGACAAGATGAAAATGAACAATATGCAACACAAAAAGCAGAAATTAAAAGTGAAAATAAATTTTCGCGCGAGAAAAAAATAAACAGTCGTTGCAACAGATATGAAAATGAATAGTCAATCCGGAAAAATCCTCTAGTCCCTCCCTTTCCCTCTCCCTTCTTCGCAGAATACCAGGTCGTCCCCTTTTCCTACAACATAGAAATACGTCATGCATGACATTAAAGGATGTAGGTTTGCGATGTAAATTTGTAAATTTACTTTTCCATTTATTTCCCTTTTTCCATGATTCTTGCTATTAAGTAATTTTGTTTGAAACTTGTTTTTGTTTAACTATGAGGCAAAATTGGAAATTGAAAAAAAGCAACCTACAAATGTTTAATATTGAATATAGAATTATATTATAGTGTATTGCTAGGATGAGAATTTCACCCAGTCAGACAATTTTATATTAATACTACTACTATAGGGGGTTCTTGGACCCCCAAAAAAAATTTAAGACCCCCAAGTTATATCATCTTACATAATCTCAAATGACATAATATGACATAATATGACATAAAATGATATAATATAGGGGTCATAAATAGAGGATGGGGGTCATAAATAAATTATATGAATTAGAACCTCATAATATGTAAAACTTAATGTCATAAGATGGGGGTCATAACAAACTTAATTGAATATAACCCCCAAATTATATTATTATATCTTTATAACACCTGAATTACATAAGATGGTGGTCATACATAAATTAAATATATATCTATTAAATACCTTTAAGAAACCACACACCATGAACTGAAAAACTTATAATTATCAATCAACATTATAAACATTTATCATACAAAGTTTCCATACATTATCTGATGGGCTTTGAAAGAAAAATGTGAACCTATAGATGTGGGTGTTTTTTTGTTACAATATCTAAACTGACAATTGTATAAAATATCACCAACTAGCATAACAGAATGATGAACCTCTCAACAAAACAAAGGAAAAATACAATAGTATCAACAACAACAAAAAATAAAAAGGATATGTAATGAAATTAATATATACTTTATTCTCATTAAACACAAGTTATTAATTTAAAAAAAGATCCAATTAAAATATCCTAGTTTATTCTGTATAATATTATAGTACACATGATATTAAGATGAGACAAATCACCATTCAAGTCACAAAATAAAATTTATACACTTTAAAGTTTAGATAGTTCCTTTATGATCCTAATCCATTTCTTACCCTAAGGTAACACAGACGTTCAGTATAAGCGAGAATTTTTACAACTTTATTAAGCAAAACACTAAACTATATGGTATTTGTTAAACATTTAAGAACCATTCCTTTTCTTATACCATGACCAAAATTATATATATTTTTTCAAGTTTCATATGTTTTTTATGTACATTTTAATTTACCCAAAAAAGTTATTTAAGTGTGTTATTTCATTAATCAATTAAAGTTCCCTATGAAACTGAAATTGGCACCTCCATTTTTTAATACTTAAACCTCTAAGTGACATGACCATCCAATAACCACAAATTATTTTTACTTGTCAAAGTTTAAATCTTCTATCATAAAAGGTTTCATCATTATTACACAATTAATATATTCTAAATTACTAGACCTTAGAAATCTATTCATTTCTATTACCAAAACAAAAAGTTGACCAATCCCTAGATTACTGGAGCATAACCATCAATATCTATTGACAAAATTTTTATTTTAAAAGACGATGTACCTAATTATGTTGTTAATGTTAACTGTTTTAAACTTATTAAAAGAATAAAAACATGTTTAGCACTCTCCGTACATAGTTCTACTGTTACTTTACCTCTTTTCAATGCAATTTTATAAAACCGATGTTAAACTTCCAGTTTTTATAACAATAGGTTAAACTAATACATTTTATTCATAATAGTATCATACAGAAATCCAAACATAATTTTATACATTGATGATATAATATGACAATAATTTTAGTAGTT